ATTTAATTCATAAAAATAGTTAATATTTATTATTTATTAAATTAAAATTATTTTATAAATTAGTATTTTAATATATTATAATTAATTTTTAAAAATTATAAATTAATAAAATATTATTTAAACTAAATATAATTTATGCAGTCTTAATATTTGAGGAGACAGCACCGACCCATCAACGGGAAAGGAGGAAGTTTCACGGCTGGAAAATTTTGAATGTACTTCCAAAGGCTAAATTCAATTCATTTTGGCTTTCGGGAGATAGGGAATGAAAAGTTTCCAACACGATAAGAGTTAGTTATTTTGTAATTTTAACTATAAAATAAAAATAATTAAATAGTGAATATATAGATTTTAATATTAAGAGTTCATCTATATTTTATAATTATTTTTTTGCAATAGTAATTTTATTAATGCAAATATAAGAATACTTAATTAATCCATACAATTACCAAATGATAATCTATTTTATTTATACATACTTACAATATTACATTTTATAATTTATGTTATATACTTTGTTATAGTTTGTATACCATTATACTTTATTTTTTGAAGTAATAAAATATTAATTCTTTATAGGTTGCCAAATGGCAAATACTACCGCCCAGAAATTAAATGAATCACATCATATATGCTTACTTCTACCTTAGAGAATACTATTATTCTCCCTTCAAACATTTTAGATATTAAGATTACTAATTGAGTTAAAGTTGATCCTAAATACTAATTGTCTTGTAATTTGTAATTAATTTGATAGAATTACTGATTTATTTGAAGTTTTAATTTATTGACTACTTAACATGTGCTTGAATTATACTTGCAAATTATACCTTATTCAAAAAAAAAAAAAAATTCATCGAGATTTCTTTTTGCTTGTTAAAATGTATAAGATTCATTACCAAAAAGTTGGATGGAGTATTAACATACTAAAATGAATTAGAGGTACCATAAATCTCAATAAATTAATTATTAGTAGGATGGTAATAAGGGATAGGGGGAGTGAAAAATCAACCCACGCTAATTATATATTCATGAAGGAATGGAGTGAATGGTGTTATTTACATTTTCGGAATTTGCTTCTCCAATCTATTGTCATTAGTCTTTTAATTTCAGTTCAAAAAATCTACTGTCATTAGTCTATCTCTATCCATTCATATTTCTACCATATCAACTACTCCAACTTTTGACGACACTCCGAAAAAATCAAACTTCATGTATTGTCAAGACTACACGTATTTTTAGAGGTTAATCTATCAATTCTAGTGTTCCCCACTATAGACCATTCATACAGGCCACTAATTCTGAGCAGTTACTTTCAAAAAAACGTTCTTCTATGCAAGATCATGAATTGATTTTATTTTGTTCTCCCTTGTGATTGGGAACGAATACCTCCAAAAAAGTGAGACCTCCGGATGCATTATTTGGTTGATCACGGGTGGCATTGATTTTTCTTTTCCTCTTTGGTTCCCATCAGCTGTTCCTACAGATATGGCTCTGATTTTATTTTTCCCTTAATGGAGTTATTTATCTCTAGTCTCTACGCATTATTTATCTGTTGATTCTTTAATCTTGTGATTACTTGATTGAATTTTACTAATTATTAATACTTGATCGAATGGTACAACAGCTTCCGCCTATTGTCTTATTTTGGTGCCCATTAGCTGGTTGTTGAAATGCCCTATAGATATTCTAAGTCAAATCTGCACATGAAATTTTAGATTAGTTTTCCCTAATCTTTCTGTTACTCTATTTAGTATTTACCCTCTCTTTGTTTTTTTCAGGATGCCTCACTTATGATCCCCACGTTCCAGCTTACTTGCTACAGTCACTAGTTACGTGTTCCAACTTTGTGACATCCCTTTTCCTATTTTTCGGGTACCACTAGCATGTACTAATTGCCCTCTTTAAAAAAAATTATATCTCATTTATCTGTCGATTTCAGTGTTCCCACTAGGACGATTAATGCAGGCCAACAACTCTGAAGAGTCACCCTTGGAAAAAGCTTGCTACAGTGCAATTATGCGAAGTCATGAATTGATTGTGCTTTATTCCAGCATGTGATTGTGGACCAACAGTTCCAAATTCTAATGAGACAAGACTGGAAAGAAATGAGTGCACCCGAATTGAAATTCAATGCCAATGTAGTACTAGAATGCAAAGCTTTGTTTTTTTTTTTTTTTTTGACCAAGTAGATGGTTAGGAAGTTAGTAGAGTTAATTTGTTAGCAGTTAAAATTTTTTCAAGAAAGTGAATGTTTCACCCCCTCATTTGAGGCGCGCGACCATTAGGTCGTAAGTTGGTGGAGTTCATGACGGTGGTAAAATTCGAAACCCTGATCTCCGCCTCACCCAAACCCTAAAATTTGGGGCCAACCAATTCGGCCACAGGCCGGTCGGCGAATGCAAAGCTTTGTTGAACACGAGGAGTTCAGCTTTAACCTTTTCCTTTTTAGTACCCATCAACTTTATGCTGTACATTATTGACTACAAATCAGGTCTAGACAGACATTGATAAGTCAATTTTACTTTATTTTTCTCTTTATTTTTTCTTTCATTATTTATGTATTGATTCTTTAATCTTGCTTTACTTGATTAGACTCTGCTAATTATTATGCTGTACATTATTAACTATAAATCAGATCTGGACAAAAAATGACAAGTCAATTTTACCTTATTCTTCTCTTTACTCTTTCTTTCATTATATATGTATTGATTTTTTAAACTTGCTTTACTTGATTAGACTCTGCTAATTATTATGTTGTACATTATTGACTATAAATCAAGTCTGGATAGAGAATGACAAGTCGATTTTACCTTATTCTTCTTTTTACTTTTTCTTTCATTATTTATGTATTGATTCTTTAATCTTGCTTTACTTGATTAGACTCTGCTAATTATTATTAATACTAAACCGAAATTTTCATATTGGACCATTTGTTTGTTCTTTAGATAACAAAATGCATATTAATAGTTGGATGAAGGATTATTTGCAAAAGAAGATTAGTTATTGGCTGCCATAATTTTTCAGGGAATAAGTAAATTCGAAGATGATAATCAGGGATTTAGGAAGTGGCACTGGCACATCAAGGAGGAAGTGAGAATTTTTGTAGCTGGATAACTTTGAATTTACTTCCAAAGGCTAAATTCAATTGATTTTGGCTTTGGGAAGATGGGGAATGAAATTTGCAAAGCAACAAATAAGCCTGAGTAATCGAAAAACCAAGGACAGAGAATTTGAAGAATTTACTACTTATTTGATTAGTGTTAGTGGTTATATTTTGATCAAATTATAAAAATAAGTTAGTATTGATAACTTCCTAGAAGTAGTTAAATTTTGATGCCAAATTTTCTTTTTACATTAGCATAGAATGAAAAAATGCATATAAAAAAACTTCCTTAAAAAATGAAAGTAATAATGTTTTTTCATTCCTGTATTAGTTTAGTAGAAAATTTTTAACATTTAGATTTAGTTATTCTTAATTTAGTGAAGAAGTTTATCAAATTTAGTTTATTTTTATAATTTAATTAAAGATTCATTTAAGAGTTTTGTGTTAGGTTGTAGTATGATATTGGTTTTTTTTTCCTTTTTATCATTTCAAAAATATATAAAATATTAATTAAAATTGATAAAAATATATAAAATATTAAATAAAATTAATT